CGGGTGCAGTCGCATCGCTGAATAGCGAATGTATACTTTATGAGGTCCATACGCAACCCACTATGCAACCCACCGATTTTCGCCTAGCCCTAGGAAACTCTCAAGAGGAACGTTTAACTCGTGCGTTTCCGCACGGACGGTAGCATAACGTACGCACGAATAAGTAATAAAGACACATTAACGTTCGTCCGAGACATCCGATAATAAAGTTTTGCTAATTCAACGTTCGACAGTCAAACGGCATTAGATATGAGCCCAGCTGCATTAGATTAATTTGAACGAACGTAACTGCAACGTCTAACACGTAGAGGTAATAATAATATTTTCATTGCAAAATGCTGACAAATTTTAAATGAAACGTACACAGAAAAAACAGTTTTACTAACAAATCCAAAAATTTAGGTACAGATACAAATAATCTGAAAATAATAATTTTGTTGGACCTTCAAAATTATTATGTACGACGTTTAAATTGGTTGCTAAAACATCAAAAATTTTTACTATTATTATTATTAAATTTTTAATATTATCATCATGCTTAAGCGTCCTGTATAATAATTTTGATGGTCCAAACAAAATTATTTTCAAATTTACGTAATTAAATTTTTAGATTTGCCAAGCAAATCTATTCTCTCTGTATAAAGTACGTAAGAACGATTCGTACGTAAGAACGTTTATGAAAATTAAGAGAAACGTAGCTAGATTATTTGGCCTACTTTATTTCGTATGTTGAATATTTTATAAGGATCAAGATTACTCTATGGTTTTGATGTTCGTTTGTACACAATATAGTTTCGTACGCAAGGCAAATATACTATGTTGTTATTCACATGGAGTGACTCGAGTAAACAGGTAACGAATGATACCTGTCTGCATATCGTCTCTTTTTACTATCTCACGAAATGCGGTCGCGACAAGTAAAAGATAACAGATAGCTATCTCAAGATTATAAGCACGAGTATAAACGTTAAAATATGGAGTTAATTACTATCTGTTCCATGAATTTTCATGAGTGTATCAAAGCAATGGCTAGTAATTAAAATAAATATTTTGTGAGATTTAAAGTTGGAATAAGAATAATGGGAAATGAGAAATTTTATTATTACGTTCATCTTAGCGATGCTTACATATACTCGCGTTAAAAATTTTTAATTAAACTGTAATTCGCACGTTTTGAGATTGACGTATGTAGAATGACGTACGAGTCGACAAATCGAATTATTTGAAGTAATAAGAAAGAGTCGATCGTATAATGATAATTAATTATAATAAATTAATTATAAAAGAATTAATTATAAAATTAATTATAAAAAGAAAAAAAAACAGAATATTCAACGCGCGTGGATTATATATATATTTCATGTACATTAAATATCTTTTGATGACGAGACTTATTGATTTTGCGGTGAAACATAGCGTCGCAAAGTCGCCGCGCTATTATTTGCACAATGAAATTCGAACCGATGAGTTAGTTAAAACAACTTCTTTACGCTCGTCAGAGATTCGCGCTTTACATTTCACGCTTATAAGGATTAATTTAAGGATTATTTATTTATTAATTTCAGATTGTGAGCATGGAATTATACACAAATCGCCAAAGTGTAAATGGTTAGGAAATTTCTACTCTAAATAAATAAATCGTATTAAATATTTGCTTCAATAAGCAGCCATCGTTTAAAAAAAAATCATGATATCGATCGCGTTTGTTAACAATACAATGTATTTTTCATTGAAAATTTGCGCGCATTCGAAATATACTGTTTGAGGTTTCGTTGTATTAATTTATCCGACCTGAGTGCTGAACAAACCATAGAGCTTTATATTTTTTCACAATTTTAAAATTTGCAACAGTGAAACACGCGTCGAGTGCAATTTAACGAGAATATCGTACAAAGTACTACGTGATTATCCTATTCTAGTAATTAGTACGCGCAGTCATAATTAACCGTGTTCTCGCAAATGTTGTATCATAAACGAATATAATGAACAGCTTCTGAGAAGAGAAAGAAGCTTGAGAAGTATCGATAACGAGGCAACAACGATAAAGTGACTAAGTGATTTATTTTATATATTATTTATTTTTTATAAAAATTAATCATTTATTATAATATAATCATATTCATTTTTATAAAATTTTATTTCGAGTATTTTATCTTAATTTTTTGACAAAAATCATGTAAGGATTATAAAAAACGAAACCTAAAGCTAATTCGAATATTACATGTCGAAAGAAATATTTCAATATGTATTTAGGGTTTATTAATTAGCGCATTATTTTCTACAGCGGATTATTTTCACTAAGAGATAAGTTTTAATAAATTTATATATTTTCCCATCACAACACATAATTAAGATAAGCACCGCTGCTCGCTCATGATTTTCTATATTGTATAGTAAATTTCTATATTGTATAGTAAATTTGCGCAAATAAATATCTGTCTAACACATTGTACAAATATCAGTTATCTATACGAATTAGTGGCGACAGTGATGAAATATATGAAAACTAATGACAACGTGAGTGCGACGATGTCAAATTTTAAATTTGCTCTACGTTACGCACAATATCGTAATATATCGGAGTAAAATTATTGAAATATGGATTCAAAAATATATCATAAAATTAAAAACAAATAGTATATAATTACGAATCATAAACGTACACTAAGATGATGCCGATAATAAGACTTACATTGAATGTTGATCTTGACGGGCGAGCTCTCGATCGAATAGCCAGTTTCCTCGTGTGTGGCCACGCAAACGAAATTCCCGCTGTCCAAGATTCGATTGACCCGGGTGATATAAAGATCACCCTCGACCTGATGTCTTCGTGGGCTGGGGGCAAGCGGCTGTCCATCTATCTTCCATGAGTATTTAACATGCGAAGTCGGCTGAGCCTCGCATCTCAAGCGAACCGGACGTCCTTCGACGACCGAGTGTTCCGCGGGACTCACCGAAAAGTAAAGATCGCCATCTTCACCGAGAACAGGTGCCGCTGTGAAAAAAAAAGTACCGATCTTGTTAACAATAAAATATCATTCAATCGTTAAAGATCGCAAATATTAAAAATCGGCCAGGAATCATCGTTACATTTTGTCGTCGTTATATATATAAAAAAAAAGATTTCTTTAAAGTAAAAATTAAAATAAGAATATAATTTTAGAAGAAAAACATAAATTTGAACAGAGTGGATATTGCGATAATTGAACCATATATCGTCGCTCCTGAAACCCTGAAAGGGCTGTACATATGTACCAATTCGTCGAGCGATCGTAAGAGGTACAAAGAGACAGTCGAACCGAAACGGGCGACGTCGAGTGCGCGGGCGCGAGAGGAAAATGCCCGCAACGCGAGCGAATCGCGCGTTCAAGCGGTATTTCTATTCGTCAAGTGTGTGCCAGCTGAAGTGAAAAAGGGAAAACGAGAAAAAAGATTAGATGGCCGGTATAAATGTACAGTATGACACACGTAGGTCCGTGATTCGCGGCGGTCCACGTGCGGCGAGAGTTGCGCGGGTTTTACATACAATGGCCGCATCGGCCATGGATTAAATCCTCTGTTACCGGGGTGAAAATCGATCGATGCGTTTCTCCGCACCGCGGTCGCCGGTCGGCAACACGTTGTGTGTACGTTGCACCGTACGCCGACTGCACCCGTTCGCCGTTTCTCGTCGAACATCGATCTCTCGTTTATACAACGCCGCCGCCGCCGCCGCCGCCGCCGCTGTGGAAATGTTTGGAAATAATTAATCCGTCGCGGTCGCGATCGCGAAGTATTATATATCGCGTTTGTACTAATCCACCTCGAGCTCATATTTCTGGGATTATCTCGCGGCTGCGAGATTTGCCGCGCCTGTCTCTTGACTTCCCATCGCATCGGTAGTTTCCAATATTCAAAACAAATCGATGAACACGCGACACTCGTGCTGATGCGTTCGAATCGTAATTTACTCGCTTCTATCGCGCCCGCGAAGTAAGTACTTTAAATCTAGCGGTTGAACGTTATTGCGGCGCGTCTTGCTGGGTATCAATTTAAAGTATAATAAAAGGTATATTCTCTAACGTTCGGCGTATAATTTATTCCAACTAATAACAAATGTCCCTTGGTGATCCTGAACGTTATATGATTTAACGGTCACACTGTACGCGCTGGGAACCAGAATGCATGGTCATAAATCTATCAGGGAGCGGAACACCCCTAGCACCCCTAGCTCTTTTATTTATCTTCACGCGGACCGTGCCAGTCTCTCCCTATCTATAATTGTGGATCCCAGGTATTTCCTTTAGTCTCACACCGTCGCGGTGTGTTTTATCGTTTTAAATACCGTAACTGTCGAAAAGCGAAGCGTGCGCACATCCAAGAGAATCTCTTTCTTTAATTTAATAACGGAACTTGTGAGTCTTCGCCTGAATGCAAAGCAAAAATATAACAATTCAATGAACGTAACTATAAAAATGATATATGGCAATAAACGTGATCAATGATAGGCGTGAAAAAAAATTTATTGTTATAATTATTTGCGCTTAAAAGTATGCATTTTTACGTCGAATTTAGGAGCGAGAAAGATGTCAAAGAAGCCATTGATTTCAAACCACGTCGAAAGATGCAAAGGACCATAGAAAAATATTCTCTAAAAATATCTTCACTTATCACTCTCGTTAGGTTAGGTTCCTCTGATTACGACGAGAAATCGGACGAGTTTCAACTAATGCTGCAGACTTTACGACACGACCGTGCCTTTTCAACGCGATCGTTAAGTGATATCTCCGAACGCAGCCCGATGTCAATCTCTATCAGCAAGAAGAAGAAAGCGCGAGAAAGACAGAAAGAGCCGCCGTTACATCCTAAAAAAAGAATATGCGTTTATGCCAGTCGTCTTGGTTGCCGGTCGTGAAATCTCCCCAAGGGGTAAACAACCGCTTTTACGACCTACTCTCGAGAGATTGGCTTCCTCCCTGAACTAAACATCTCCTTCTCCTTTCTCTTACTCTTTTCCACGTCGACGACAGCTGCGACCGCGCCGCTTTATAACGTTTACACAAGCGGCCCGATTTTTCGACTACACGTTGCTCGATGCTGAGTGCCTGTGCGCGTTCGATGTCTACACGTAGAATCGTCGACGGATAGTAAGGCAATTGACGCAACGTAACGGACTTCAAAGAAGGTGAGGAAAGCAAAGTCCCACGAATGCTAGAGGTCGGCTTAACTAAAAGCCTTGTTCCGTGATTAATCGGCTAAAAATAAAACACTTTTAACTAGTAGTAGTTAGTAAATGATCATTAGTTAGACACTTTTAACTAATAATTAGCTGATGATTAAATAAAAGTGAAATATCATCTCATTGTATTTTATTTTATTTAATTTATATTTATAATTTTTTATTTTTATATGCTTTGATCATAATATTGCGATGTATAACAAAATTCCAAATTGATCGAGAGAGAGAGAGAGAGAGAGAGAGAGAGAGAGAGAGAGAGAGAGAGAGAGTATAA